CCACTCATTTCTCTACCTCTGAGCCTTAACTGTTTCTATTATGAGAGGAGAGATTTGACTATTCAGTGGTTCCCAGTCTTTTGTATTTCGCAGGTCATAAAACGTGAAAAAATAAACCTGAGATTTCTAGTTTTTATTTTTTGAAACAGTCTCACTGCATAGCCCAGGCTGGAATGCAATGGCACCATCTTGGCTCACTATAACCTCTGACTCCCAGGCTCAAGCAATTCTCCTGCCCCAACCTCCCAAGTAGCTGGGACTACAAGTGTGTACTACCATACCCAGCTAATATTTTGTATTTTTAGTAGAGATGAAGTTTCACTATGTTGACCAGGCTGATCTCAAACTCCTGACCTCAAGCGATCCACCCACCTCAGCCTCCTAAAGCACTGGGATTACAAGTGTGAGCCACCAGGCCTGGGCAAGATTTCTAATTTTTAATTTTAATGTCCATGTAAGAGCATTGAAGCAACTATCCTCTATTTATCAGCATCTTTTCACAAAACAATTTTTAGTATCAACATTATAGGGAGATCATACTTGTAGAAGAATGGAGTAGAATCTATTTTATTTTATGAAATTATAAAAAACCTGATTACATTTTCCATATTGTCTTAATTTTGTAGAATAGGGGTGAAAACTTTATCACAATATGTGTCTGAGGATCATTATTCAGAAACCACAAGAGACTTGTCCTGCAGGGTCTCTTCTGGCTCTGACACTCTAGGATTAAAATAAACAGTAGTAGGATCTGAAACTTCCTTTATAAAAATTATGACAAATCTGACCTAACTGACTCCATCTTGCTTCTAACCTCCAAGCTGCACTTGCTCATTCCTGGGCACAGGCCAACCTAACTATGGGAGGAATTTTTACTGTTTAACTTTGAAACAAAGATAGTAGTCCCTTCCTGAAATAAACCACCTCATTGTTTGGGAATCAGATCTCTTTAGTTAAATCGACCATTTTCATCTCTCCATCATCTGTGAAGAAAGAAGAAGCCCCCCAGAGTGAGGCACCGGGCATGGAGGACTGCCATCATGGAAGGACTCCTACCTGTTCACGGCTTGCTCCAGCACCAATGTCTCAGTCCACCTGCTCCCTTCACTCCATCCACTCTGAGTGGCAAGAAAGGCCCCTGTGTGAGCACACAAGAACTCTGAGCACTCACAGTGTGCCCAACATATCAGGGGTTACCTGTAGTGCCTTCGCTTCCCCTTTTGGGTGTCCTTACTCACATAGACATGCCACCTACCCTCACTGAGTGTGCTCTGTGGATCCTCCTTCAGCCATAGAAATGCAGTTGCGAAGAGTATTACACGGTATTAGAAACTCACTGCAGAGTCTTTCACAGTACCCTATGATGAGAGTACCTGATCTTGCTGCTGCTCCATATAGTACTCAGAAATCATCTGTTCTACCTCTTTATGAAAATACTTTTCAGGAGCTCCAGGTAATGAAGTGAAGCCTGAATTTGTTTAGAACACAAATGATGGATTTAGAATTGGCAACGCTGTGTCAGCATGGTTTATCATCACATGACTGAGGAGGAAAGGTTTGAATTTGATCAGCTCCAGGGCTTGAGAAATTCCGTCCGAAGAGAACTTCAGGACCTGGAACTGCAGCTGGAGGAGTGCCTGCTGGGCCTGGAGGAGCAGCTTCGTGCTGTGCGCATGCCTTCACACTTCCGCTCCTCCGCACTCATGGGAATGTGTGGCAGTAGAAGCGCTGATAACTTGTCATGCCCTTCTCCATCGAATATAATGGAACTAGTCACCGAACTGATACAGGAACAGTCATGCCTGAAGTCTGAATTGGGCCTAGGACTTGGAGAAATGGGATTTGAAATTCCTCTTGGAGAAAGCTCAGAATCTGTTTTTTTCCCAAGCAACATCAGAATCATCATCTGTATGTTCTGGTCCCTCTCATGCTAATAAAAAAACTGGAGTACCTTCCACTGCTTCAGTGGGCAAACCCAAAACCCCATTAGTGGCGAGGAAGAAAGAATTCCGAGCATCGGTGGCTCTAATGCCAACGGCTCCTTCTAGAACAGGCTCTGTACAGACACCTCCAGATTTGGGAAGTTCTGAGGAAGTTGATGCAGCTGAAGAAGCCCCAGAGGTTATAGGACCTAAATCTGAAGTGGAAGAAGGGCATGGAAAACTCCCAGTAATGCCAGCTGCTGAGGCAATGCATAAAAATGTGGAGCAAGATGAGTTGCAGCAAGTCATATGGAAGATTAGGGTCTATCGTTGGGGAAATCAGACGGGAAATTGCAAGTGGACTTTGGCAGCAGTATCTTCAAGTAAAGCATCTAATTCTAAGCAAGATAATCATTAAATAGAAATTATAGGCTGACATGGATCCTATTAGCTGTGTAATACTGGAGTTACCAATGATAGGCACTGGTGGAGGTGTTACTTGTGCTTTGGAAGACACTTGCTGCTGAACTGGGCTACTGTATACAGTGTACAATGTGTATTTCTTCAAGTGTATCTTTTAAAAAAACATACATAGAAACTTAGGCACTTTGCTATTTCTTTTCTAAACTATCAAAAACTGTAGCAGTTTGTAAAGCCTAACATTTGTTTGTATGTCAATATTTTTCATTTGATTCCCTATTAGAATTAATTATAAAACTTGAAGACTTCCAGACTTGGCCAACTTATAAATAACATATTTCTTCATACTGGCTTCTTAAAACACTGACCTCTATGAGGTATTTACCGTGCAATAACTGATTCATTTTTTGAGAGCTTGAAGCAACCAATTTCTCACTCCACTGCTGTTACTTAATGTCACTACCAAGAAGAAAAACTATTCTGTTGTTAAAAAAAAAATTGCTCTTAATTCTTGAAGAGGTTACTAATAGCAGTAGGATAGAATTATATGAGGTTACCTACAACTACTTAATGTTCTTACACCGTAAGCCTTTTTGCTTTACTCAAGACAAATGTAATTTTATCATTTCTTATGTAGTATTTTTCTTTTTGAAATGTGCCTTATGTTAAACACTATGTACTTTCAGTTTTTGCATTGTCCAGACTTATTAGATAGAAATGTTTCTTCTTCTCTCTTTTAGACTAAATAGTAGAGTATCATCCAAATAATGGAGCCCATGACTTGAATGAATAGAAAGGAATAAGCTAGTGTTTGTTTTTTCAAAATGGAAGTAATTTAGATTTGTTCTCTTCCATACATAAAATGATTTTAGTTCAGTTTCTACCAGTGAAAGCTATTTGTTTTTATGAAAAAAAAGGAAAATGTTTTCCTATTGGGTTTTATATGTGTTAAATAAATGTGTAAAGTAACCACCAAAAAAAAAAAAAATTTTTTTTTTCATCTGATAGATAACAGTTTCCCCCACAGGAGTCATGCCATTTTGCACTCCCACCAGTAATGTGGGAGCAGATCTGCCTCGCATGGGGCTTCTCTAGAGTTGTCATGCCCTGAGCCTGCGTGGTGGGAGACAGTGAGCCTGGAGAGGGCAGGGCCAGAGCATTATCTGACCTAAGACGCTTGCAATGATCCAGGGGAGAAGGTGATGGGTTGGAGGCGGGGCAGGTTCCCAGAGGCTGGGGAGGGACCTCCAGAAGGCAGTTACTGTTTGCGAAGTAGTGCCAGCTGACCTGCAATGGGATGAGAACGTTGTGCTGACCCATGGCCCTGGGGATGAGGTGCAGTTCTGGGAGAAAGCCCTGACCTGCAGAGAGCCAGGCAGTCCTCATCAGTGTCGCACTGCATTTGGCTAAATGGTTGTCTGCCCCCATGTATCTGAGAGTTAGATGACATTCCCTGTAGGCCCTTGGGAAATCTGGCTCACTAATTTATTACTGAAATTTATTTCTATTCTATCTTTGTCCAAAAAAATACCTGAGGCCGCCAGGCTGACTTTGGTGGGCTTTTTTGACTATGAGTGGTAGAAACATGGTTCTACCAACCAAATGTGTGTACACACCATGCTGCAGCTGCTGGGCCACCTGTCTGTCCTGCCAACAGGACACAAGCTTCACAGGGGCAGGGGCTGTCCTCATTCCCCATAGTAGGCTCAGTGGCACATGGCAGGTGCTTCATTAATAAACACTCTGGAAGGACTGAGTACCATGGTTACAGCACAGCACCGCACTGTGCTTTGCAAGTATTTTACTGTAGATTATCCCACATACACTCTCAAAACAGGCATTCCTCATCAAGCACTGCTAGGCTCCCGCTCTCCACTGTGGAGCTAAGGCCGAGGCAAGGTTAGGCAGATGGCATGGCTCTTGCAATCTAGCTCTTCCAGCTGGACTAGCCGTGGGGCTTAACTGCTCCTTTAGTGGGCTGGTGGAGGGCTGGATTTGGAGAAGTTGCCCAGATGTAAGGAGAGCCTTAGAATCTGGTGTCAGAGGCGTCTTGGGCAGCTTGAGGCTGGTGACTGAGGAGGTGAAGCAGGCCTTGGCTGGCTGGCTTCCTGGTGAGGGAGGGGTCAGGCCAACAAGCAGGGACCCCAGGCAGGGCTCATGGACTCGCCAGGAAGCTGAGGCCTGCTCTGGGCTGCCCTAGGGAGGGGTTTAGCTGCGAGGCAGCCGGGAGCCAGCCCCAGGCTCTGCTTCTGGGCCTCTAGCCTCTGATCTGTCAGGAAGTGGGATATCAAATCAGGGTGGATGTGGGCCTGGGGTTTTTGGATGGCTTGTCCCCAGAGTAGCATCTAGTTCTAAACCATACCCACAAGAGCCTGTGGGTCCCACTCTGGCTCCTGCACACAAACTTGAGCCACTTGCTGCCTCTTCCAGGCTGGCCTCCCCAGCACCAGCTGCTCCATCAGTGAACTGCCACCACCCCTGAAAGAGGGCACTGACTGCCCTTCTTTGCACAGATAAATCCAGAATGCCTGGCTGACTGTGAAGGTACAGGGCAGGCACCCCCTCTTCCCCTGCTCAGGGGAGCTGGGCCCCATATAGTCCCACAGCCTTGATGTGTCTGGACCGGGGAAGGATCCCAGCAGGAAGTGACGGCAGTGAGGAGGTGGGGAGGGCCGGTGCATCTGCAGCAGGGCAGGAGCATGAGGTCCTGGGGCACCAGCTCAGCTAAGGCCCTACTTGTGTGCCTTTCCAGGCCCCTCCGAAGCCAGCTGGAGCCTAGCCCTCATCCACAGTTTCAGGGCCACAGACGCCTGTCACTCAGGCTGTCTGCCTTCCCCTTTTAAGGTGCGCCTCCCAGACCTTGCTGTGGAGACTGCCTGTCCACAGCCATACTCTCCTGGACTGATTCTGTACTGGATTCTGCAGTAGGTGCTCCATTGAGCTCTGTACTCATCAGCACTGTGGGCAGGAAGCTGAGAGCTCCAGGTTGGCATCAGCCCTTCCTGTCTCCATCAGAGCTGGGTGTCCTTGATGTAGAAGGAGGTGGATCCACCATCTCAGTGGGTCAAAGACTCCAGGCACACAGGGCAGGGCCAGCAGAAGACAGTCAGGCAGACTGGTGCTTCTTCCCTCCTACCCTGACCCAAGAGTTGGGCCCGGTTAGGCCTGTGTCCTTCAGGGGTGGGAAAGGGAGTTGAAATCTAGACATCAGGACTGTGTTCCCCATTCAGGGAGAAGGGAGGGAAACTGTTTGGAAGACAGGGATTGTGTGTTCTGGGGTGAGCCAGGGGATAGGCTCCTTCTCCCAGGGTCCAGCGAGGCAGTCAGTCTAGGGAAGTAAGGTCCTGGCAAGGGTGTGGGAAGAGCCTAGGTTTGAGTTCCCAGCCCATGGCAGACCCTGTTTTTTAAAAACTCCCTGGTGCTGCAGGCCTGGCCAACTTGAGGCTGTTGGGTGGGGTGGGGACACTGTGCAGAGCGTCTCTGAGAGGTCTGGAGGGGTCTGGGCAAAGGGAGAGAAGAGTGGAGGCACCTTGTGGAACTCTGCCTCTGCCCGTGTGCAGCCCAGTGACTCTGGTGGACTCTGGTGGGAGGGAGGTGGCCGGCAGGACTTGAGATGGAAGGGAGGGTTGGGCCTCCCCTGCCAGCCACTCGGCCCGCCCCGGCTTTATTGCGAGCAGGAGCGGCCACAGCAACTCTCCACATGCTGGCCCTCCTGGGGGCTCAGTCCCCAGTGTGTTCCCCCCAGGCTGAGCCCCAGCCCTAGCACCGACACTTGGCAGCGACCACACCTCAGGGGCTCTTCTCAAGACTTGCGCAGGGAGCTTCCGGGGCCTTCTGGCTTCTTGGGTGGTGGGGCTGCCGTCTTTGGGGCATACAGCCCACCCTTCTTCAGGAGTTCTTCATGGTTCCCAGCCTCCCAGACGCAGCCATTGGCCATGATGACGATGCTGAGCCGGTGAGCAATGACCAGCACCGTGCGGCCCGCACTGACCCGGTCCAGGGCCTGCTGCACAACCCGTTCAGACTCCGCAACCAGCACACTGGTGGCTTCGTCCAGGATAAGCACTGTGGGCTGCTTGATGAGGGCTCGGGCGATGGCCAGGTGCTGCTTCTGGCCCCCAGACAGGGTAGTGCCCCTCTCACCGACAACCGTGTTGTAGCCCTCAGGGAAGCTGGTGATGAACTCGTGGGCATTGGCCTCCTGGGCAGCTGCATACACCTCTTCATCAGAAGCTCCTGGCTTCCCAAAGTGGATGTTCTCCATGATGGTTGTCCCAAACAGGATCAGCTCCTGGCTAATGAAGTCAATGACCTGGCCTCGGAGCCAGGAGGGGTCAAAGGTGTGCAGGTCCCGCCCATCCAGCATCACCACGCTTGCCGTGGGGTCGTAGAAGCGCTCCAGCAGGGAAGCCATGGTGGTCTTTCCTCCCCCAGACTGGCCCACGAGGGCCATGATCTTGCCAGGGGGCAGCATCAGGGTGAAGTCTTTCAGCATCTCGAAGCCGGGGTGACAGGGGTAGCTGAAGCAAATGTTGTGAAATGTGACGGTGCCATGCAGGTGCTCTTTGGGGATGCAGCAGCCCCCAGACAGCGGGATGCAGGGGCTCAGGGCCATGTACTCAAAGACCCGGGAGCCTGAGCTCAGCCCCCGGAGCACCTGGCCAAACAGGATGGAGAGGTTGGCCGTGGACTTTTGCACTGTCTGGGAGGCCACCAGGAAGGACATGAGGTCTCCCCCTGTCAGCTGCTGTCCAGCCACAAGGGAGCCCCCAATAAACAGGGTGCCCAAGACCATGCAGTTGAAGGTGATGTTGGAAAGCCCTTGGAACAAGACGACGCCCTGGCCCAGCTCTTCTGCCCGGGAGCGGCAGGCTTCCCGTTCTGCCCCGTAGCGCTCCTCCTCAAGGACGAGGGTATGGCAGAGGTGGTGGAGGTAGCGCTTCTATGTCTGCCTGGTCCCAGCTGTCTTTGGTCAAAGACCAAGGCCTCTCCATCATGGTGTAAGGAAAGCTGGATGCTGTCATGAAAGCTCGGAAGGACACTGTTGCTAGACTGCAGACTCAGGCCTCAGCAACTGTTGCTATTCCCAAAGAACACCATCGCTCTGTTATTGGCAAAAATGGAGAGAAACTGCAAGACTTGGAGCTAAAAACTGCAACCAAAATCCAGATCCTACGCCCAGATGACCCCAGCAATCAGATCAAGATCACTGGCACCAAAAAGGGCACTGAGAAAGCTTGCCATGAAGTCTTACTTATCTCTGCTGAGCAGGACAAACGTGTTGTAGAGAGGCTAGAAGTAGAAAAGGCATCGCCGGGCTGTATAATGGGCTGGTTGGCGAGATCATGCAGGAGACAGGGACGCGCATCAACATTCCCCCACCCAGTGTGAACCAGACATAGATCGTCTTTACTGAAGAGAAGGAACAATTGGCTCAGGCTGTGGCTCGCATCAAGAAGATTTATGAGGAGAAGAAAAAAAAGACTACAACCATCGCAGTGGAAGTAAAGAAATCCCAGCACAAGTATGTCATCAGGCCCAAGGGCAATTCTTTGCAGGAGATCCTTGGGAAAACCGGCGTTTCAGTTGAGATTCCACCCTCAGACAGCATCTCAGAGACTGCAATACTTTGAGGCGAGCCTGAAAAGTTAGGTCAGGCGTTGACTGAAGTCTATGCCAAAGCCAATAGTTTCACCGTCTCCTCTGTCGCCGCCCTTTCCTGGCTTCACAATTTCATCATTGGCAAGAAAGGACAGAACCTGGCCAAAATCACTCAGCAGATGCCAAAGGTTCACATCGAGTTCACAGAGGGCGAAGACAAGATCACCCTGGAGGGCCCTACCAAGGATGTCAATGTGGCCCAGGAACAGATAGAAAGCATGGTCAAAGATTTGATTAACCGATGGACTACATAGAGATCAACATCGACCACAAGTTCCACAGGCACCTCATTGGGAAGAGTGGCGCCAACATAAACAGGATCAAAGACCAGTACAAGGTGTCCATGTGCATCGCTCCCGACAGTGAGATGAGCAACTTGATCCGCATCAAGGGGGACCCGCAGGGTGTGCAGCAGGCCAAGCGAGAGCTGCTGGAGCTTGCGTCTCACATGGAAAATGAGCATACCAAGGATCTAATCATTGAGCAGAGATTTCATCTCGCAATCATTGGGCAGAAGGGTGAACGGATCCATGAAATTCGTGACAAACTCCCAGAGGTTATCATCAATTTCCCAGACCCAGCACAAAAAAGTCACATCGTCTAGCTCAGAGGACCCAAGAATGAGGCGGAAAAATGCACAAAATACATGCAGAAGGTGGTGGCAGATCTGGTGGAAAACAGCTACTCAATTTCTGTTCCCATCTTCAAACAGTTCCACAAGAACATAATTGGGAAAGGAGGTGCAAACATTAAAAAGATTCGTGAGGAAAGCAACACCAAGATTGATCTTCCAGCAGAGAACAGCAATTCAGAGACCATTATCATCACAGGCAAGCGAGCCAACTGCAAAGCTGACCGGAGCAGGATTCTGTTTATTCAGAAAGACCTGGCCAACATAGCCGAGGTAGAGGTCTCCAACCCCGCCAAGCTGCACAACTCCCTCATTGGCACCAAGGGCCGTCTGATCTGCTCCATCATGGAGGAGTGTGGTGGAGTCCACATTCACTTTCCCGTGGAAGGCTCAGGAAGCGACACTCTTGTTATCAGGGGCCCTTCCTCGGATGTGGAGAAGGCCAAGAAGCAGCTCCTGCATCTGGCGGAAGAGAAGCAAACCAAGAGCTTCATTGTTGACATCCACACCAAGCCAGAATACCACAAATTCCTCATCGGCAAGGGGGGTAGCAAAATTCACAAGGTGCATGACAGCACTGGAGCATGCGTCATCTTCCCTGCGGCCGAGGACAAGGACCAAGACCTGATCATTATCATTGGAAAGGAGGACGCTGTCCAGGAGGCACAGAAGGAGCTGGAGGCCTTGATCCAAAACCTGGATAATGTGGTGGAAGACTATATGCTGGTGGACCCCAGGCACCACCGCCACTTTGTCATCTGAAGAGGCCAGGTCTTGCAGGAGACTGCTGAAGAGTATGGTAGTGTGATGGTCAGCTTCCCACGCTCTGGCACACAGAGCGACAGTCACCCTCAAGGGCACCAAGGACTGTGTGGAAGCAGCCAAGAAGCGCATTCAGGAGATCATTGAGGACCTGGAAGCTCAGGTGACATTAGAATATGCTATACCCCAGAAATTCCATCTATCTGTCATGGGCCCCAAAGGTTCCAGAATCCAGCAGATTACTCGGGATTTCAATGTTCAAATTAAATTCCCAGACAGAGAGGAGAACCCAGTTCACAGTGTAAAGCCAGTTGTCCAGGAGAACGAGGATGAACCTGGGGAGGGGAGAGAGGCCAAAGATGCTGACCCTGGCTCTCCAAGGAGGTGTGACATCATCATCATCTCCGGCCGGAAAGAAAAGTGTGAGGCTGCCAAGGAAGCCCTGGAGGCACTGGTTCCTGTCACCATCGAAGTAGAGGTGCCCTTTGACCTTCACCGTTACATCATTGGGCAGAAAAGAAGTGGGATCCGCAAGATGATGGATGAGTTTGAGGTGAACATACATGTCCCAGCACCTGAGCTGCAGTCCGACATCATCGCCATCACAGGCGTCGCTGCAAATTTGGACCAGGTCAAGGCTGGACTGCTGGAGCGTGTGAAGGAACTACAGGCCAAGCAAGAGAACCGGGCTTTAAGGAGTTTTAAGCTGAGTGTCACTGTAGACCCCAAATACCATCCCAAGATTCTTGGGAGAAAGGGGGCAGTGATTACCCAAATCCAGCTGGAGCACGACGTGAACATCCAGTTCCCTGATAAGGATGATGGGAGCCAGCCTCAGGACCAAATTACCATCACAGGGTATGAAAAGAACACAGAAGCTGCCAGGGACGCTATATTGAGAATTGTGGGTGAACTTGAGCAGATGGTTTCTGAGGATGTCCCGCTGGACCACCATGTTCACGCCCGCATCATCAGGGCCCGCGGCAAAGTCATTTGCAAAATTATGGACGAATTCAAGGTGGACATTTGCTTCCCACAGAGCGGAGCCCCAGACCCCAACTGCGTCACTGTGACAGGGCTCCCAGAGAACGTGGAGGAAGCCATTGACCACATCCTCAACCTAGAGGAGGAATATCTGGCCGATGTGGTGGACAGTGAGGCGCTGCAGGTGTACATGAAACCCCTGGCACACGAGGAGGCCAAGGCGCCATCCAGAGGCTTTGTGGTGCGGGATGCACCCTGGACCGCCAGCAGCAGTGAGAAGGCTCCTGACATGAGCAGCTCTGAGGAATTTCCCAGCTTTGGGGCTCAGGTGGCTCCCAAGACCCTCCCTTGGGGCCCCAAATGATAATGATCAAAAAGCAGAAACCTCTCCAGCCTGCTGACCCGAACCCAACCACACAATGGTTTGTCTCAATCTGACCCAGTGGCTGGACCCTCCGTAAATTATTGACGCTCTCCCCACTTCCCGAGGTCTCACAGAGAAGCCTAGCGCCTGGCTCTGTGTGCGCTGCTCCTACAGGCCTGGCCGTGTCCAGTGCCCACTCAGGACCTGCTCCACTGTTAACACTAAACAAGGTCATGAGCCCTCATGCTAAGATAACAGACTCCACCTCCTGGTCCACCCATCATGCCAGTCAGCACTCTGACTTTCTTCATGAGAGCACCGCAGCTGCGGCTAGGATTCGACTTCCTGTGTCATGAACTCAGGAAATAAACTTCCTTGATTGACTTTATAAAAAACAAAACAAAACAAAAAAACAACTTTTTTTTTTGGAAAAAGAAAAGAGAGAAAGCTCGAAAGATGGCAGTCTTGAAGAAGATGACAGCTGTACTTTGTTTATAAAACAATATGGTCCCTTACTGAAGGACCAGGATGAGAGCTGCCCCAAAGTAAATAGCTTCTTAACTCAGAATAAGCATGATGAAGGATTGTATAGATTCAGTAGTCTAAATGATTTGTCTCAACCTATTTCCCAAAATAATGAGAGTACTTTGCCGGCATATCGTGGTGGTGATTTTGTGTTGTTTCCACCTGCATTGGCAGGGAAGCTTGCTGCCTCTGCTCATCAGGCAACTAAAGCAAAACCTGATGAGCCAGAATTTCACTCATCTCAATCAAACAACCAGAAACAAGTAATTGAAGAATCAGCTATTTACAGTCAAGTTTCTCTTTTGTTAGTTAAGAGTTTAACGTTGAAACCTTTTGAAAGCCAGGGAAGAGGGCATCTTTCTTCCCAATCAACCCAAAGCAAAAATAGAAAATTATCAAATGAGAGCTTGAATGCTAATAATAATACTAACTCAGCATGTTTCTGCAGAAAGAAATTAGATGGTGTACCAATTGGTAAAGCTATCATTTTAAATACAGAAAACTTTTCTAGTACACCTCCTGCTAAGTCTTTGAAATATTGCCTTCTGGTCCTAAGTGTAAGGCAAGACATCCTTCTACAAAAGTAATGAAGCAAACAGATATAGGTGTGTATTTTGGACTACCTCCCAAAAGAAAAGAAGAGAAATTGCTAGGGGAAAGTGCATTAAAAGGGATAAACTTAAATCCAGTTCCAAGTCCTAATAAAAAGAGGTCCTGGCAGTGCAAGAGGAAAGCAGAAAAATCTTTAAGTGATTTAGAATTTGATGCGAAGAATTTAAATAAGAGTCAGTTTTCTGTGGAACTTTCTAGTGAGAGGTCACAGCGTCAAAAAAAGAGACTTAAAAAGTCAAATTCACCACCGGAAACAGTGCATCAGAAGAGATCAGATCACCTTACTAATGCAGAATCTGAAACAGTCAATTTAAGTAAAGTCAAAGTCTTCACAAAATCAGCTCATGGTGGGCTGCAAAGGAGGAACAAGAAAATCCCAGAGTCATCTACTGTAGGAGAATTAAGAAAAAAGACATATCCATTTTATAAGAAAATACCTGGAACTGGCTTTACAGTTGATGCCTTTCAGTATGGCGTGGTTGAAGGCTGCACAGCCTATTTTCTCACACATTTTCATTCTGATCATTATGCTGGATTGTCTAAACACTTCACATTTCCCGTTTATTGTAGTGAGATAACTGGCAATTTGTTGAAGAACAAGCTTCATGTGCAAGAACAATATATCCATCCATTGCCACTGGACACCAAATGTATCATGAATGGTGTCAAAGTTGTTTTGCTTCATGCCAATCACTGTCCAGGTGCTGTCATGATCCTCTTCTGTCTTCCTAATGGTACTGTCATATTACACACGGGAGACTTCAGAGCAGATCCCAGCATGGAACATTCTCTTCTTGCGAACCGGAAAGTCCATGTGCTGTACTTAGATACCACATATTTTAGCCCAGAATACACCTTTCCATCTCATCAAGAGGTTATCCAGTTTGCCATCAACACTGCCTTTGAGGCTGTAACTCTAAACCCACGTGCTCTTGTTGTCTGTGGTATTTACTGTGTTGGAAAAGAGAGTCTTCCTAGCCGTTGCTGATGTTTTAGGTTCAAAAATGGGCATGTCCCAAGAAAAATATAAAACACTACAGTGCCTCGATATACCAGAAATTGATTCACTCATCACTACAAACATGTGCAGTTCATTGGTTCACCTTCTCCCAATGATGCAAATTAATTTCAAGGGCTTACAGGGTCATTTGGAGAAATTTGGTGGGAAATATAATCAGATTTTGGCATTTAGACCTACAGGATGGACACACTCTAACAAGTTCACTAGTATAGCAGATATTATTCCCCAGATCAAAGGAAACATTTCAGTATGTGGAATTCCTTACAGTGAACACAGCAGCTACCTGGAAATGAAATGCTTTGTCCAAATGGCTGAAGCCCCAGAAAATCATACCTACTATAAATGTTGGCACCTGGAAATCTAGGAGCACGATGGAGAAATATTTTAGAGGTGGAAACTGGAAGCTGGATATTGATGATACCTCCGAGGATTCAGTAGTAGTTAAGTTCCTTGGTTGTAGCTTGTTAGTAGTTAAGTCTATAGAGATATGAAATGCACTTTGTGTGGAAAACCTTCATGAAGATTGTCCAGATAGTTTAGTTTCTCATTTATGTTTGAACAACATGTTCCTGGTGCTGAATGCCTCTCAGCATCATCAAGGATAACTGAAACTGAGTCTCCCTGGGACCCTTACTTTCTTGCCCCTTGCCCTCCATGGGCAGTTATATTCTGCATCAAGCCCTAGAAGAGGAAGCAAAGGCAGATTCAGGGACCAAAAGGATTAATGATAATTAATAAACTAGATTGAAACATGATATGTATAAGCAATTATGCATCTTTAAAATTATGAGATGAAAGTTTTATATGTATACTTAAATAAAATTAATATAAAATTTGTAAAAAATATATTTTTTGAGTTCTGTATTAATTTGGCTTCCATATGGCTGCTGAAATCAAGCTTATTAAACATGATACAATGTTAATGGCTGTTCCTCTCCCTCCACCCATTTCTCCACCATCTACATGCTTTTTAAGCCATCCCTCTCCCCTTTCTGGGAAGTGAGGAATGTAGACATACTCTCATCACAGACCTAAAAGGCACTTCTTGTGGATATGTGGATGTCTGGTATCAGATACTGCAGCAATAGCAGTTCTGTTCTTGCAGAGCAGAGGCCTGGCATTTTGTTTTCCACTTTCCTGTGCTAAGTGAGTCCAGTAATTAAGCCACACTCACTCCTTGGAAACAACTCTCATGTATCAGAATCTCACCGATGGTTCATGGGCTTCCAGCAGAATATATCCCTCCCTTTTATTATAGAATAGTATACAGGAATTCATTTGGACAGAAGGAGCCTCTCTATGTAACAGGCAGCCTTCTACTATTGGTCACAATCAATCAATGATCCAGGCAGTAATTATGATTTTCCACATTCCTCAGAGCTGCTCTCTTCTGAAATCACTTTGCAAATTTTGTTGACCAATTTGCAAACAAAAGAGAATGCAGTTGACCTACCCAACCTAGAAATCTGTTCTGCCTAATTCCCTTAAAAAAACCATTGAGAATGCAAAACAAGTCCCTTTTTCATTTTTTGCAGAAGCACTACAAGAAAGCATGTCTAAAACCACAGAACTATGCACACACAAACACAGACACGTGTGCTCACACACACACACAGAGTCGGGATCAAAGAATAGTTGGAGCATGTTTCTGTATGTTAATGACTTGTTGGGTAGCTATTAAGGTACTAGAATTGATAATTGTGTACACGGGCCTTTCACAATAAAACTGGTTATGACTTGATCCAAGTGCTTAACAATTGGGGCTAAGTCTGACCATACATCACTGTGATAGGATGTGGGCTTTTTTAAGGGTGAAGATACAAGTCTTAACCACAGTGTAACTTACAGTTTCCTTTAAAAAAAAAAAAAAAAAAAGTAAACCTGGCAGCTATAGAATACACTATGTGCATTTACAATAGCTATTTTATATGTTGTAATGTCAACATTTTTAAATTAAATGTTTTACATTCACATACACAAAAAAGGGGGCAAGAACTACAAGCCCCTGGACCTGCGGCGGAAGAAGACGCGTGCCATGCACCACCGGCTCCACAAGCATGAAGAGAGCCTGAAGACCAAGAAGCAGCAGCAGAAGGAGCGGCTGTACCCGCTGCAAAAGTACGCGGTCAAGGCCTGAGTGGCGCGCTGTCAATAAAGCACAGCTGGCTAGAAAAAAAAAAAAAACTGCAGCAAAAAAAAAAAAAAAAAAAAAAACTCATCAGCAACAGGGTCTGAATTTTTTTTTTTTTTTTGGATAACAAGTTTATTTTTTTAAAGGCCTATAGACAATAAACAAAGTAAATAATCAGATCTTCTGTCCTAGAATTGTTCTGTTAAGTTCTAGTCTGTAAGCACTGTTAGTTCAATAATAATTTTTTTTTATTTTTTATTTTTGCAAAGTCTGACCCAAAATTTTAATTTGTAATTTTAGCATGTGTCTCATGCACTTTGGGGAGCATCAAACTAAATCTACAATTGCTAGAAGCCTTGTTACAGTTTAACGCACATTAACTAAAATGTGTACATTTTTAGTGTTCATGATAAATGCAATTATGACCTTATTACACTTTTGGCATTCTTTAAGAAAGCACATTAAGCTTTAATATAGAAATATTTAGGTTACACTTGTGCTCAAGTAATAATATTTGTTCTTTTTTGACTTATTCACTTTTTTTTTATTTATAAACTCAAAGTGATTTTAAAAAACACATTGCTTTATGGCTTTTTTTTCTTTTTTTTCCAGATGAAATTAATTTTAATATTTCACTTAACACAGCATATCTAAAATATTATCATTTTAACAGGCAATCAATATAAAAAAATCCATTCTTCTTTTTAGTACTAAGTCTTCGAAATCCACCATTTACATTTTGCAGAACATCTTAACCTGGACTAGCCACCTGTCAGGGGCTCAAAAGCCCCACCTAATGAATGACTGCTGCCTTGGACAGTGCGGGTGTGAGTCTAACAGGAAAGCCATCCCTTCGCCTTGGAACCCATGAAGTCCAGAGCTGAGGTCAGACGTGAGCACCAGCCTACATCCTTGGAAAAGGTCAAGGTCACAGAAGCAGTTTGGGTTCTGAGTTCCTTGCCTGACAAGGCAGGCAGCTAGGACTGGTTACCGCAGTGGATTTTTGTTTTTTAATGGTAGAAGCAGATTCACTTATCAGACATGGAGGAATAATCAATAGGTAACCATAAATTCTATCATATTTTCAGGTCAATAGCAATATCACCTTATATCTCAGCCTATTTTCTACCAAAGAAAGATTATTCACTTCTCTTAGCATAGCGACTATTAGTGGAGAGTAGGTGATGTTATTAACTTGTTGGTACCTTCATAATGTGCCTAGTGAAAAGCCTAAAACAGTGTCAGTCTAAGACACAAGTCAATGTTAGGTAGACAAAAGGAATTATTCCTTGGGAAAGGAAAACAGACTTGACAAAGTGGTTTTCTTTTTTGAATTTATAAATGCATTTTAATACCTTGCTGATAAAATAGTAACATTCCATCTTTGCAATCTGATACAGAATACAGGAAGATACAGGTAAAGGCTTTGATGTGCATATCTATTATAACCAGGTAATCAGAACACACACAAACCACCTACTTTAGTGTTACACCATACCCTCTTCTCAGAAAAGCCAGCTTCAAGCTCTACTGGGTAGCTGAGTAAGTAGCATCTAATGTTTAAAGACTGGAGGGCAGGGGAGAAAGATGAAAGGTGAAAGCAGCACACACTTCAAAGCCCACTTTTAAGCACACGACATTATGAATATTAAAAATAAAGGATGCAAACAAAAAAGTTAACAAACCAAGGCTGTTGATCCCTGAATTAGAAAGTTGATTTGCTTGATTATTTATGAGTATGGGTTTATGAGTTCTGCTGCAGCAGACTTAAACGTTCCTGCCCAGCAGCTCTAAATGAACAATGGAGATCACAGCTCAGCACTTGAGCTCCTATAAAGGACAGACTATCTCCTCAAGCAACTCCCTGACCCCCATATATCCAAAGAGTCACCTCATAAAGGAGAGCTCAGACTGACATTTGGTGGGTATCCTTCTGGGACAAAAATAGCAGAAGAAGAAACTGGCAGCAACCCTTACTGTCCTGCAGCCACTGCAGGTGATCCCCAGGCAAGCAGGGCCTGGAGTGGACCTCAGCAGTCCTACAGCAGAGGAGCCAGACTGTTAGAAGGAAAACTAAGAAACAGAAAGAAACAACTTCATCATCAACAAACTGGACGTCCACCCAGAGACCCAATCTGAAAGTCAACAACTTCAAAGACGACAGGTGGATAAATCCACAAAGATGGGAAGAAACCAGCACAAAAAGGATGAAAGCACCCAAAACCAGAACACCTCTCCTCCTACAAGGGATCACAACTCCTCACCAGCAAGGGAACAAGGCTGGATGGAGAATGAGTGTGATGAATTGACAGAATCAGGCTTCAGAAGGTGGGTAATAGGAAACTTCTGTGAGCTAAAAGAACGTGTTCTAACCCGATGCAAAGAAACTAAGAACCTTGAAAAAAGATTTGATGAAATGCTAACGAGAATAGACAACTTAGAGAGGAATATAAGTGAATTGATGCAGCTGAAAAGCACAACACGAGAACTTCGTGAAGCATGCACAAGTTTCAACAGCTGAATTGACCAAGCAGAAGAAAGGATATCAGAGGTTGAAGATCAATTCAATGAAATAAAATGAGAAGGCAAGATTAGAGAAAAAAGGGTAAAAAGGAATGAACAAAGTCTCCAAGAAATATGGGACTATGTGAAAAGACCTAATCTCCGTTTGATAGGTGTACCTGAATGTGACAGAGAGAATGAATCCAAGCTGGAAAATACTCTTCAGGATATCAACCAGGAAAACTTCCCCAACCTAGAAAGGAAGGCCAATATTCAAGTCCAGGAAATACAGGGAACCCCACAAACATATTCCTCAAGAAGAACAACCCCAAGGCACATAATCATCAGATTCACCAGGGTTGAAATGAAGGAGAAAATGCTAAGGGCAGCCAGAGAGAAAGGTCGCGTTATCCACAAAGGGAAGCCCATCAGACTCACAGTGGATCTCTCAGCAGAAACCCTACAAGCCAGAAGAGAGTGGGGGCCAATATTCGACATCCTTAAAGAAAAGAACTTTCAACCCAGAATTTCATATCCAGCCAAACTAAGCTTCATAAGTGAAGGAAAAATAAAATCCTTTGCGAACAAGCAAGTACTCAGAGATTTCATCACCACCAGGCCTGCTTTACAAGAGCTCCTGAAAGAGGCACTAAACATAGAAAGGAACAACGAGTACCAGCCACTCCAAAAACATACCAAATGGTAAAGAGTATCAACACAATGAAGAAACTGCATCAACTAACGGGCAAAACAGCCAGCTAGCATCAAAATGGCAGGATCAAATTCACACATAACAATATTAACCCTAAATGTAAATGGGCTAAATGCCCCAATCAAAAGACACAGGCTGGCAAATTGGATAAAAAGTCAAAACCCATCAGTGTGCTGTATCCAGGAAACCCATCTCACATGCAAGGATACACAAAGGCTCAAAATAAAGGGATGGAGGAAGATTTACCAAGCAAATGGAGAGCAAAAAAAAAGCAGGAGTTGCAATTCTCGTCCCTGATAAAATAGACTTTAAAGCAACAAAGATCAAAAGAGACAAAGAAGGACATTGCATAATGGTAAAAGGATCAATGCAACAAGAAGAGCTAACGATCCTAAATATATACGCATCCAATACAGGAGCACCCAGATACATAAGGCAAGTTCTTAATGACTTACAAAGAGACTTAGACTCCCATGCAATAATAATGGGAGA